CCCCCCCCCCCCCCCCCCCCCCCCCCCCCCCCCCCCCCCCCCCCAAAGAATTGACAGAACTGTGGGAGCTGTGAATTCAGGGAATTACATCACCTTCAGAATGCTGTTACTCCACATGGCGGAGTAGGTAAAGATCCGAACAACATTAAAGTGATAGCACAGGAAGAAGGAGAAGGAAAATAATTATCTCCCTGTTTATAATCATGTCTTGTGTACATGGCTACCTGCAGGTGGTTACATGAATAGTAAAGATTTTTATTCAATCTCTTGGACTTAAGGATCATTTAAAGCACTGAACTCCACAGATCTGCAATACTACACAGCACAGTTATCTTTCATAAGCCTTGCCTCAGTCTGTGTGTTGGCTTTGAATATCTCTTATTCTATCATTGAAAAATAGAAAAGAAAAACTGATTTTCCTTTTGAGCGCTGTTCATCAGCCTCCGTACCTCTGCTGTGCGCCCACCTCGTCTCCTGCACTCATCAATCCCATTCTCATCTCTGATGCTGAATGTTCCCATCACTACTTCAGTTTTGTTCTGCCCTTTCTTTGAGCTGTGCCACTACCCCCCATGTTGAGTTGCAAACCCCTCACTGAACAGAACTAAGTGCCACATGGAGCATAGGGAATGAGCGACAAAGAATTGGAACAGCAGCTGAGAACTAAGTAAGTAAATCTCCTCCCTCCCCCGAAATGAAAAAAATAAATACAGTAGGAGGGCAGATAGAGAAGCAAATCCAATGTAAAAATCTCAGAATGAGACTTACAAGAGTCAGGCTTACAGAAGCTGCAGCAGTCCAGTAACGCTGACTGCAGCAGGGGTGACAGCCCACAGTCCTTCAGCAGCTCCTCTTCTGGCAGATCAAGGCAGATCAAGACACAAGCATTATTTCACTAGAAAGAAGAAAAGAATTCCATTAAGGTCTTTGCCTTCTGATTTCCATTACATCAGTCCTTGCAAAACTTAAAATGCAGCAGAGAAACTCATGGTGTGATTAAGCATAAATCATCACAGGTTGCAGGATGCCACAGCACAGCTCCACAGCGCCCAGCCATGCTGTGAGGAGCACATGGAGTGGGGCCTCTCGTCCTCACAGGGCTCTCTGCATTCAGGCAGTGCCAGTCTGAGACCTGGCATGCAGTCAGTTGGCTTAATTAAAGCCTACCTGATAGCACACGAACACCCATTTTCAGCCAGGCAGTTCCTTGTTTCTTATTGATTCTCAGATCCTTTTTTAAAAGTCTCCCTCTTCCTTTAACATAAGAGCTGACAGGTGGCTTTGACAGCACGTTTATTAGTTGTGCTGGTACATGCTGGAAGAAATAAATCATCGGAGGTTGTATTTTTACAGAAAAGGACTGTCAGCAAGGCTCTAAGTCTGCACTGTTACTGCTGCAAAGGGCATCCTTTCCCACCCCCACCCCCCCAAAGTTCTCATTTGCTCCTCACCAGGCAATACCACCTCATGTATCGCATCAAGCTTCATCTGCATGGGCCTGGCTGGCAGATCACCACAAGACTGATTTGCAAAAGCCCCTCTGCCTCTGCACAACCCTAAACCAAGAGCCCCCTTGGTCTCCTGCAGCACAACAAAGACTTTAAAGTAGATGTAACCATAATTTACATTCCAGAGGAAAACGAAAAGCCTTTCTTGGTTTACAGAATTACCCAAGAGGCAAACCAGTTCCCAGGCCAGGAGAAATTCTTCATTTTGCAATACACTTTAATTATACCAAGAGAAGCAGTAACAGAATGAGAAATCAATTCCTTCTCCTAAATAAGATGGTTGCAAATTCCAAGTCGGTAACTGAGCAGATGTAGAATTGAAATGGAAAAAGTAAATACCCAAGCAGGCGCTGTGAAAATTGTCTTATCATCTCAACTAGTTCATCCACTGGGAAAGGGATATGGGGAGACAGTTCCCGAATCTCCTGATAAGGAAACCAGAACAAATTCAATCACTTTTATTTCAGTGACACAGCCAGCATCCAAACAGACACGCGCTGCCCCTCCCTGCCTCCACAGCTGCACAGAGACTCTCTCATAAAGCAGAGCAGCCCCTCAGCCTGCAGAGTCCATTGCTCTCCAGCGAAGAGGCAGCTCTGTGCAAATCCGCCACCTGTAGGACCTGTGGCCATCCTGCTGCCACCAGCATGCCAACAGCACAAACCTGGCACCCTGACCTCAGGGGACTCCAAAGGCCATCACTGAGAGGTGAAGGTTCTGAGCATAGAACATGCTCCCCGAGGCAGTAGGCACAGGGACGCTGCTCTCAGACATAGGGTTTGGGTGGTGCTGTGTGGAGCCAGAGGTTGGATTCAAAGACCCTTGTGGGTCCTTCCCAACTCTGTGATCCCTCAGAGCAGGAGGCGCCCTCAATGTTCCCCAGGGTGGGCAGAGGGGATGGCACCGGGCTGTGCTCAGTAGCAACAGGTCCTTCTTCAAAAGACTGATTGCACACCCAGGTGCACCAGGCTGGCCACACCTACTTGAAACAAGGCACCTGCTTTGAACCTCCCCCACACACACAGCTGTGTCTGATGTTTGCACTCTCATTCACTGTTTGCAGCAAAAGCAGAAAATTAAATTGTTTCAAAACCAGGAAGATAGCTGAAGTTTGAACAAGAGTGAAGCATTTCCATTTAACAACAGTGCTCCTTCTACAGCCATTTAATGTATTCATCCCAGTCCATGTTTAATCTGCCTATTTTTCTATTCTGTCTACTGATCTGCCCATCCACCTCTACACTAGAGCAGTAACTCTGGATCCCTTTGCAATTTGTACAAAGATCAAACCCCATTGTCGCTATCTCATCACGCCTTTATCTCTTAAAAGTCAGACACATACGATTCCCTTCCAGTCATTAAAGAGACAGATTCCTGATTAACAGAGCTGGGCGCTCCATCCATCTGTGTGCACACACACTGATGCATACACACAAGCACACATGTACTTGCAGATGGCAATCCTAGATTAATAGGTTACACAAGGATTTTATCCCAGGCTTACTGAGGATAATAAACCCTCTGAAAAAAATGTACACAAATGATTAGAAAAATGTCTTCAAACACATAACATTCTGTCTGAGCTGCATGTAAGGTGTTGTTCAGGAAATTGCTGAACATTACTGACTCAGACCATTTCTGCCAGACCCTCCTCTCATCTCTTTCTGACTGGAAAAACCAAGGACACCCCAGCAGAACCACCATTGGCTCTGTGCTGAGGTTCTACATTTCCAGGGTTCGCCACTTCCAAAGTGGGGGGGTGGGCAGAGGGGAGTTGTGAGAAGTTCTCTGAGGATTTCCTCAATCAGACTCAGAATGCTGTCAGTGAACTCCTGGTTTGGATTCAGCTGCTTCTCCCTCACAGCAGCACCAGACCCAGCCTAGAACCACATCCTCCATTTTTCTTGGCCAAACCCATACAACAATGATGAGGGACAGACAAAGCAACCCAGTGGAAATGTGTAACTGTGGATTTTGTTTTTAATTCAGACCCTTACAGCAACCAAATTCATTTCTGCCAATCTACGAAGGGAGCTTTCTGAACAAAACTTGACTATGGTTTTCAAACTCCATTTACAATGGTACAATTATACCAACGTGCCTCAACAAAGCCAGGTTCTCAAAACACCCCTGTGCTTCTGCATCAGAGAATCATTACAGTTGGAAAAGACCTCTAACATTATCAAGCCTCTGTCTGGAGTGTGATTCATGGTGTTAGGCAATCGATGAGAAATTCCTTGTACCAGAGAAAGACCTCTAGCAGACTTCCACTCTCCATGTTTCCACACAGAAAGCAGAGCACCTGCCCCAAGCCCTGCACTGACACTCAAGCAAAGTCTCGGTGGCAGCCATACAAAGCAGGGTCTGAATATAGACTTGTTTCAGTTGCAAGGGACCCATAAAGGCCATCTGGTCCAACTCCCTGCAATGAACAGGGGCACCCACAGCTCCATCAGGTCCTCAGGGTCCTGCCCAGCCTGACCCGGGGCAGGAGACTCACATCTCTGGACAACTTGTACCAATGTTTCATCACCCTTAGTCCTTATATCCATCCTAAATCTCCTCTCTTAGTTTGAAACCATTTCCCCTTGCCTTATCCCAACAGACCTTGCTGAAGAGTCCGTTCCTTTCTTTCTTACAGCCCCCCAGGTCTAACATTTTAATCTTTTTTTTCCAGCTAGTAAGGATAGTTTAGCATTACTTTTAGGGAACAGCAAAGGTCTACAGGTCTCATTCATCTCCCTGGATGTTTGTTGCACAGGTGAAGCCTCTCACGCAGAAGCACACTGAGCACTTGCTTTGTTTCCTCAGAAGACCAGGCAGAAACAAACCAGCTATGGGTCTCAGCAGCATTGCAGACTGGTGTCACTCCATAGTGTTGCCTGCAAACACTAACGCTTCTCAGGATGCAATGGGAAATGTTTTTGTGTTGACCTCAGGTGTCTGACCCACCTCCTGCTGCCACCCCACTGCATCCCACAATCTCCAGGGCTGTGTTTTATGATCTGCCTCTTGGCTGCCTGACAATTACCTAGGACTCTTTTTAGGTTGAATCCTAAAATGATTTCAAAATGAATTACAATACCACCAGGAAAAGCAGATTCAAAATGCTGCATCATTTTTTATCTAAATAATGTTTAAGTTTTAAAAGGGGGGAAGAAACCTAATTACATCTCTGTGTGGAAGATCATAAATCACATAATTACAATGGGAACCTCTGAATCTTTCCAACAGACTAAAAGCAGTCTATGGAGTTCTTATCTCATTACAGTTTAATTAAGAACTATGTTTGAGCATCTTCTTTTTAATTATCACGAAGACCAGATGACTTTTAATTTTTTTTCTTTTTTTTTTTTTTTCTTTTCCCCACCCAAAATGAGGGAGAGCGCAGACCAAAACAGGCTCTAATGAATTTACAATTTGCTCTTTGGGGAATTTTAATAAAATTACTCCACATAGAAGATTAACACTGATGCAGGAAACTTCCAAAGAGAACATTTGGTTCTTTTCAATTAGCATCACGTAACTGCCAGGAGTCAGGAAGGGGATGCTGAAGCAGCACCTTTTGGGATGAGGAGAGGGCAGGGCGTACAACCAATGAACGTACAGCTGTTACAGCTATGAGGGATACCAGAGAGCTTGGCTACGCAGTTATTACACCAAAGCTGAAAAGATAGGACGCTTACCCGTATCCTGGGCTAGGTTGTGAAACTCCAGCAGAGCAGATCTCCAGAAGAGACCCTTCCCCCCGGCAGTCAGCTCTTAAATGGGTCTGGGGAGCTGCAGCCAGGCTCCACCCTTCCGGCAGCACAGCGAATTGCCTTCACCTGTGCTCCCAGGCCGACTCAGTGCTCAGGTGGTCAATCAGAGGTTCAGGCCGTGGTTCAGCAGTTCCATACAGCAGGGTGTTGTTGGAGCTGCAAAAGGCTCTAAAACCCGAAGTCCTGGAGTAGCCCTGCAATGCTCCTCTTCCCTCCTCACGGCTTGGGAAGAATTTCCCATCAAGCAGTACTGCATGCTGCGCTCAGCACTGCTGGCTGCCATCACCCACAGTGTGGAGCTGGAAAGAGCACACACGTGTTTCTTTAAGCCCAGCACACAGCAAACACCTTTTAATTCAATTGGTTGAGTCGACACTGAGAGATTATTAGTTTTCAGTAAGATTTCATTCAATTAATTAGCTTGAAAATATCAGCACAGCCAGGCAAGCAAAGAAAAACAGAGATAAATCCCTGCCTTAGCACTGCTTCATCTTTTAAAGGCAATTAATTCTTAGTTATTAGCTTTTAATTAGGGAATAATAATGACACCATTAATACAGTTTATTATACTTGTCAGCGGACAGCTGTTCCAAACAGATTTTATTATCAGATCTTGGCGGCTTTTGTCTGCTCCACTCCCTCTCTTACGGGAGAAGGCAGCAGCTCCCCACATCCCCTGTAGCCTCAGGAGAGTCCTGCAGGACTATGGGTGTTCATGGCTTTCACTATTACTGTGGGTTTTCTAACCCTTCTAAAATGATTTCTCTCTCAGAGAATCCCAGTGGCAGCAGGACGCAGCCGTGATGGTAACTCACGTGCTTTTCTATCTATGTTTCCTTGGGGGAGATGCTGGATCTGGACCAAAGCTGGTTTCACAATTCAGCTCCTAACATCTGAGACAGCATCCAACTCACGGAATATTTAAGATGCCAAAAAAATTCACTGCTTTGTTTTGTCTTCGTCTGAGCTTAACCATCACTCTGGAAGCACCAAGTGCATTCAGAACACAGTAGATATGATTTGGAAGCAAATAATCATGTTAAATAAAGCAAGCATTCCACATAAGTTTACCCATTCTTAATCTCATTCCACCCGACTGCCAAGTGCACATCTCCGCAAGGAGGCAGCTGCAAAGGGTAGAAGAAACGCCATGTAATACCTTTCTTTCCTGCCCCAAATTTATCCTGAAATTTCAAGTCCTTCTCTAAGAACTCCACCGCACTAACACCAGCAAACTGCCTCAAGTTTTCATGAATGCTTTATTATTTCTTTGTCTTTTGCATCGCCTAAAATAAAATATACAGGAGGCTCCTAATTATGTGCTTTGTCATACACACAGGAAAGCAGATGTTCACATTATTTTCACCCGTCATACTTTTCCACTGTGTCCTAGCATCTCCCTGGCAGAGACTGCAAACTACTCCCAGGGCACACACCTTTCGTAGCTGTGTGTTATTGTTCCCATATCAGAGAGCCTCTAAGCCAATCTCACATGCAGGATGCTGCTGTAACACAAAAATGTAATGCCATACATTTCCCTGATTTACTCTGGAGTTAATAAATCACAAAAACACTACCAGGTAAAATACTGTGTTGGATTCCAACACCTTGGTTTACATTTTTTTCCTTGCTCTGGATCAGAGGAAGCCCTAAGGGAAATCGCCAGGAGCTTGGAGACCCAACAAAGTGCCTCCCAGCATCAAAAGCTGCTCATGGCAGGCATCCTTCTCCCCACTCAACACACTGCAGTCAAGTCCCATGGAAAGAAATTACCCAGTGTAGGAAGAAAGCAGCTGGGAGAACCTATTTGCAATTTTCTACAGGAAAGCAGAGAGCTGTTAAATTGAAAGCAATGCTGTTAAAATGAAGAAACTTTCCCTACTGAGAACTGACATTAAAAAATGAATGGCAGAAGGGAAGGATGATAACCACTACCATACAGATTTAGAAACTGAGACTCAGACAAGTGAAGAGCCACGAGGCAGCAGCAGGACCACCACCACTGCTGGGAAACTCCAGCAGGATACAGCATCTCCCAGCAGGCAGCCCTGCTGCCACAGAGCCCTCTATGCATCCAAGGAGCCCATTCCATGTTCACTGCTCCCTGCACTGGCAGCCTTCAGGTGCCAGGTGCTGTGCTGTAGGCTTTTTGCACATTTGTAGCTGCACAAACCTTAGAGCTACGCTGTGCGCTCTCACTGGTGACTAAGGCTGAATATTTTAGGAGAAATGGCTTTAGAGAACTTGGTGCAACTATAAAGCTTTCTCAGCTGAGGGGATTTTTATGCTCAACTGTATCCAGGCAAAAACTGGAAGAGGAGAACAGCAAACAAATTGACACATCCCACTGTTTCTCAGTGAATACTTCAATGCAAACAAACCAGCCACAGCCAAAGACGTTTCTCTGAGGCAGGATCAGGACTTTGTGGAAGTTCACAGAATCATAAATCCATATGGGTCAGGATTGGACCTCTGGACTCAGTCCAACCACCTCTCCCCCGAAGCAGCTCCCTACAGCAGCTGCACAGAAGAGCACCCAGGGGGACCAGAACATCTCCAGGGAAGGAGACCCCAGCTCTCTGTGCCACGCTCACAGCACAGAAGTTCTTCCTCATGTCCCTATGGAACTCCCCGGGCTCCAGTCTGTGCGCGGCGCTCCTCGTCCTGGCGCTGAGCACCACAGAGCAGAGCCCGGCCCCATCCTCCTGACCTCCGCCCTCCACATATTGATCAGCGCTGATCAGATCCCTCCCAGCCGTCCCTTCCCCAGGTGAACAGCCCCAGGGCTCTCAGGCTGTCCCCATCAGGAGGTGCTCCAGGTCCCCACCATCTCTGTAGCTGTTCCCCGTCTGCCTGGAACTGGGCAGCCCAGCTCTGAGCAGAGCAAAGGGAAGGAGGACCTCCCTTGCCTGCTGGCTCTGCTCTGTGCGATGCAGAACCATCGGCCTCCAAGGCCTCACCTGTGCAATGGAGAGAAGGGTTAACGCTGAACACTCCTCAATGCACATGGGATACAGGGAGCAGCCTTCACTCCTCAGAGCCACGGCCATCTGGGCCAGGAGGCCAGGAACTCAGCTCTGGTTTTACCACTGCTCTTTAGCAGAGTCATCAGCTCTGAAAGGCACGAATTTTCTCACCACAGTGGACCTGTCACAGCGACAATTATATTTAACAGCAGTTGTTCAGCCTTGCCTTTCAGAGGCGCTGATTATGGCAGTAAATAGAAGCGCATTGCGGGGGGTGAGGGGATGCTGACAGGCTGCAGTTGTGCTGCACTGGGGCTGCAGGAGCCCAGGCATACTGTGGTCTCAACTAAAGGAACCCAAGGGGACGTTCCTTCTCATTGAGCTTTTGGCAATGAGCAGAAGGGTTAAAAATGCTCCTCAGGCCAAGGCCAGAGGCAGCAGACAGAACACATGGAAAGAGCATAAGAATAAAAGCAGTGTGTCAGAGGCATGGTTGTTTTTTTTTTCCAGTCAACTGCCTGCTGAGAGTGAAATATTGCCATGGTTCTGTCAGTGCTATAAGCAGATGTGAAGTTTGGTCTTTGTGCTCAGAGAATAGATCTTTTAAAAGTGTAAAAAGAGCATCCAAAATCAAGACAGGCTCCTCCAAGTGCAAGGGAAGACTGGCATTGGGGTTCCCTTCCCAGCATCACGCAAGTATTGGGAACACATATGGCAATTTAAAAAAAAAAGAGAAAAAAAAAAAAAAAAAGAAAGGAGCTTAAATTTAGCCACTGCAGTAGGTCAGTGTGACACTGCTCATTGCAGAGCACTGTGAAGACCATGTTAGGTCATCTGGAGGTACTTACAGGAAGGGCCAGAGGGTACATTTGCACTGTGAGGCACTTGGGGCATGAACAGACAGAAAAAAAAAATGAGGATATCTCTCGTAACTAAGGAAAATCGCAGAGAAATTGATTTGGACAAAACAGACCCTGTTCCTGATTTTTCAGAATGTTACAGAAATGAGATTAATAACAGCAGTTCATAAGCAGCCAAATTTCTACACTCATAAGGAGTCAAAAAAAATCTTGCGATGAATCGTTTCTGTAAAACAGAACCATCTCTGAGCAGGGGGATCTCACAGAAACAGCTGTTCTCGAGCAGATTTCTCACTACGCACTGACAAAAAGCTCACACTGATCACCCAATGCAGGGCACACAGCTGCAGGACTGCAGCGCTAATTCCATATTATAGCAGAATCCCAGATTAATCAGATGCACCACTTCCTCAGATATTCTCCTGTGGCTCCAAGCTATTAAGATAACAAAAAGAAAAAAAACCTCTCAGCTCTAAGTGGAGACACAAGGAAATCAGACTGGCACAACAGCCTTTTTCCTCCACCCCACTGCTTCTCCATGTAGAAAATTGTCCACTGCCCTTCTGTACCTACAATCAAGTTAGATTTGATCTTTCTAGTCAGGCAAATGAATCTCTGCTATTCTAAATGGCAGCAGCATCTTGGCTTGCATCATGGGTTACTGACCATTCAATCCTAATCAAAGAAAATTTGCTGTGTTTTCAGGAGATGGCTCCGTTAAATGAAGCAGATGAGCAGTGGGTCTGTCCATTTATTTATTTTTAAACCATGATCTGGGGCACAGGGGAGGGTATCACTCCTCTTTCAGAGACAGTTTGGCTACGAGCTCATTTGCTGGAGGATATTAGCAGCTGGCATCTGAAATGGCACAACTAGGAAATAGAGGTAAGCCAAAGTCAACTGTGCTGAAACACAGCCAAATTCTTATTTATATCACAGGAAAAGTGGCTAAGCTGTGGTTACTAAATAATTCCAAACAATATTTGCAGAGTGACCTTTACGTTTCTCCTCTTGGAAACAAAACATTTAATTGTTTTGCTCTCCTACTGCAGAATAAATAACTCCCAATAATTTCCTATTGGTGTGCATATAAACCAAGTTGTTATCTTTTTTTACTGTCAAAGCTGCCAAATAATTCCAGCTCAACATCTTCAACTCA